AATGTCCAAGACGACTAGGGGAAAACTTCGGTCGCTTATTTTTACTTCCAAGGCAAACGCTTTCTTTCAGCGCTCTGCTCAGTTGGGATGTTAACCTTGAAGTCCAAGGAGAACAAATCTGAAGGCATAAAAAGGAGGGAAGCTGAGGCCCATTGACAATTCCTCATCCTCCATCCTCCTCAGCAAGTCGGATACAAGATAATTTTTTGAACCTTTCCCAACCAATTTCCAATCAAACAGAAATATCTTATTTGAATCTTCCCCAATCTCACAAGATGCAGAGCTTCAACTTATTTGTCGCTTTCGCAGTGTTGTTGATCAACACTCAGGTCAATTGTGGCTCATTTGTGTGTCCCATTCCCGGTCAACCTAAAGACCAAAAAGATGCCTATTGCATCCAAAGAATAACTCGCAAGGAGCTCCGTGATCCGGCTAATAAAAATGCAACAATGTTCAGTAAGTTTGATGGAATTTTGAATCTATCAATTATGTTATGCCGTCCATTGAGCTCATGATCTCTTGTCAACCTAATACACAATGATACTTGCAGAGCTCCATATAACCGAAAAAGGTGAAGATGGCTTTACCTGCGATGATGTGAGTCTGAACGGTAAACCGGCCAGAGACAGCTTTTGCTGCGACGCTCCGGGTGACATTGGTGTGGTAAGTTTTTGTACCACAGCCCTTTACTTAAAGCAACTCAGGTTCCATGAGATCTGACACCGCTCCTCCACAGGTTTTGCCAAGTCCCCAATCCATGTGGGATACCAAATGCAGCATTATTGAGGATTGAAGACCATCATATTCTTCCCCCTGGACTTTCTCTGCAAATTGGATCATCCTCATTGGCTGAGTCGGTTAAAACCAAAACTGCTTTCTCATTCTAGTCTAGGCTATTAAAACCCCCAAATTGTAGTAGAGACTCAATTCTTATTGGCATAATTTCAATTCTTTATTCATATATTGACCTCATCCATGCAGTGCACATTTTAGAAAAATATTTTTCACACAATCCAGAAAACCTAGAAGGTAGAGAGAATGGTGGGAAAGTTTTCAGTCATTATCCCTACTTCAAGCCAATAAGGGCCAATATCTAAGTAGGAGTTTGGATCAGCCTCCTATATTGCTAAAAGCCCCTCTGCCATCCTCAATGCAATATTTTATCTGATGGGAACTTTCCTGCTTCAAAAGTCCTGCCAATGTTTTAGGATTAACAGAGGATTCCTACAGCATTTGTTTTCTCTCCCTTGTCATCAATACAATTCAAATGTTGGTTATATGTATGCATTCAGTGTTGTTGGAATCTTCTTTGCATGGCAGCTCCAACTTTAAACAATCAAGTACACTGTTTTCTGATCAATCATACCCATCAATTCAATTTCTGTTACACTAAAAGTGCTCAAAAGCAACATGTGGGCATGTTTGTATCAGGAAAAAGTGCCAGCCAAGGCTACCTGGCCCTGCAAACTAAGGTACTTGTAACCAGTTTTACAGTTGAACTTATGGACAACAAAAGTTTGCTTGTGTGGTCTGGGAATACATACATCAGATGGTTGTGTTGGGATGGGATGAACTTGGCCAATGATGGCTTGGAGGTAATTTATGATTTTTTATGGAGGGTCTGAGTGAGAATTTAGTTTATTGACAGAAGAAAAATGCAGATTAAAGGTGAAATTGCATGGCAACTTGATGCCAATGAGATGGGTATTTAAGAAGACACATGTTTTTTTTTTTTTTTTTTTGCTTTGTGGGGTTTCAAACTTCAAGATACAATCTAATTTGGATGCAAAGCTCAGTATTTCAAAAATTCTCAGACTTTCACACCATCAATTTTACATAAGTAGGTTTATCTTCAGCAATTGCTGGACCGTATTGAACAAGTTTTCACCCCCACCTTCCTTGGAGGGAAGGCAGAGGAGGACAAGATCATCTTGAATCAACACACTTCAGAAGGGAGGGATAATAAGAGTTCTTCACCTATTTGAATGAACATCTGCCATAATCTTTCAATCACTTGAATTCCTTATGAGAGCTTAATATTTTCTGATCACTTGTAAGAACTCACTCATCCATCCCTTGGGCCCCTCAATCAACCTTTCAAGCAAATTGGTCTTCTACTACAGATTAGATCATGTAAACTGGTTTGACTTGTGAAGTCTATCCCTGTTTCTTTCATGAGTATTGTTTATAACTCATCAAGCAACATGAGGATCCAAATATCCAGTTTAATGAGGTAACCACCAATGTCAATGATTGCATTCAATTCTGGTGAAGTGTGAAAGATAATGAAGTATTTTGTGTCACTGATTTATGATCTAGACTGAGCTGCAAACTCTGCCTTTCTATATTATCAGAAAACAAGACCACTAAGGTAAGCTTGGCAGTTTGGTTGGTGATAATGGATTATGTTCAAAGATGGGTGTATAATTGTTGAGGACTGATCTTGCTGTCCAAAGAATTGATTGAGTTGTTGATTTTATTGCTTGTCTTAATGTCTTGATACCTGTGTAATGTAATAGAGGAGATGGTTCTTGAGCCCCAAAGGGACTGGGAGCACTCTGCTTCAACCAGGACTGGCTCTTCTGTGTAATGTTTGTGAAACTGAACTGTGTATATATTTCAACTGTGAACTGTAATTCATGTGAACTTCTTGCGTAATAAATATGTGTAATCTGGAGACAGAGTGCAAGGCAATGAAGAGATGATGTCACTTTCTGCTGGTACTTCGCTAAATCCATATTCCTGTTTATGATCCATGCGCCCCTATGCACATCCGGCAGAAATCCTTGTGTTTTTTTTTGGGGTCTATCATTGCGCTCTTTCTGATTGGTTGAACTGACAGGCCAGCTTTTCACAGGCACTCGATCGAAAAACTGCACTGTCCACTCCGCTATATCTTGTTGAGGGAACTGTTCTTTTTTTTTTCTTCATGGTCTGTGGTCTGTTTAATATTCTCTTTAGTCTGTTTCCCCACACCCACCCGGCCGATTGTGGGGGGGCTGTCATCGCTTATGTAAATCCTAATCATGAGGTCTGCTGATGATCGTAATTCTGGATTTGAGTGTAGGTAAGGCTGTTCGATATTCAGTCGGCTTATGTGAGCCACTCGAACATGTTTCATATAAATTCACTTGGCTTATTATATGCTCATCACCATCTCATCCTCCCCACTCTGTCACAGCGCATCCTCACCATCATCCTGACTTCCAACCAAATTCCTCTTCAACAAAAACCAGTTCATCCATCCTATCCATAGCTAGCTGACCCTTCAAGCTCTATTCCTCTGCGTTTCCTTATTTCATCATGTCCAAAGTTATCGTCGTAGGAGGGGGCTTGAGTGGTTTATCTGCTGCCCATACCCTCTACGATCGAGGTGCTAACGTATTGGTACTAGACAAGAATCCATTGTCAGTCAAGTCCACCCGGACTTATTTTATTCATGCCCTAAATAGGATCCCAGTCGGATGGCTAATGTTTGCTTGGTCCACACTGATGTTCTGAACATCCTGATTATTCTTGACTTAACAGCTTTGGAGTCAGTAATTTCCTTGAGCAATATTCTTTTAACATTCTGAGCCATCCAAGTCACTTATACTGAACACAAATCTTCTGTTTTTACACAGGGAAATTCTACTAAAGCCACCTCCGGGATTAATGGAGCCGGCACGAACGCACAGGCGGAGCTGGGAATCCCAGACTCCGCCAAGGTGTTTTTCGAAGATACTAAAAAAAGTGCCAGAGATCTTGCAAGAGACGATCTCATTAAGGTCTTGACCGGGAAATCGGCTGAGGCTGTCAACTGGCTTCAAGACAAATTCTCATTGGATCTTTCCAAGGTTTCCAGACTTGGAGGTCATTCGTTTGAGCGTACTCATCGTGGTGGTGCCCAGTTTCCTGGGATGACTATGTGAGTAGAAATTTCTCTTGCCACCACGCAGACTTTTCTTCAGGGCCAAGCACTGAATCTAGACTTTCATCAATAGTACTTACGCCCAAATGGAGGCATTGGAAGACCTGGCGGACAGCGACCCCGACCGTGTTCAAATCATCAAGAAGGCCAAAGTGACTAAGCTTCTAAAAGAAAACGGGGCGGTCATTGGCGTGGAATATGAGTTCGACGGCAAAACCTACACCGAGAATGGGCCAGTCATTCTTGCCACTGGGTGGGTGCCAACGACATCTATTATCATCGCATCATCATCGTATATGTCGCTTATTGATTTGTTATTTATCTTCTGTATAGAGGATACGCTGCCGACTTTTCGCCAGACGGACTGCTCGCAAAGCACCGTCCTGATTTACTCAAACTGCCGACCACCAACGGAGATCATTGTACGGGTGACGGCCAAAAGATGGCCCTTGCCATCGGCAGTGCGGGGATTGACTGGGAAAAAGTTCAAGTCCATCCGACTGGATTAGTTGATCCTAATGAACCTGACGCTAAAGTCAAGTTCTTGGCCGCCGAGGCTTTGCGTGGTGTGGGTGGAATCCTTTTGGACCGAGAAGGTAACCGGTTCGTCGATGAGCTGGGTCACCGTGATTATGTTACTGGTAAGATGTGGGAGAATAACAAGGTAAAACCTCATCGTCATCACTGTAACATCGTCATTGTGTCGGTTGAGATCGATTGATCTGATGGTGCATCACATTAGTTTCCTATCCGACTCGTGCTCAACAAGGAATCATCGGACGAAATCTTATGGCATTGTAAGATTCTTTTCTTTTCTGTTGATACTTCACAATTTGCTCACGCCACATGAAATGCTGCTTAGGCAAACACTACGTCGGAAGAGGACTCATGAAGCGCTTCGAATCAGGCAGTGAGCTCGCTAAAGAGATGGGACTTCCTGAGTCAAAGCTCAGCAGTACCTTCGATGAATATGTCCAAATTGGGCAAGGAAAAAAGGCCGACCCACATAAGAAGAGTGAATCATCTTTTGCTTGTTCTGCTATATGCGGTCTCGCTTGCTGACTTGATCGACCAAACAGAATTCTTTCACAATTACAATTTTAGCATGCAGCAGGGTCCTTTCTTCGTAGCCTCAATGACCCCGGTCTTACATTACAGTATGGGTAAGCATTACAAAACTCAATCTCGATTGTTGGAACAAGCGCTTACATTCCGCTCCCGACTTCATTTTCTCATTATTCAGGAGGTGTGGAAATCAACGAGAAGTCACAGGTTCTAGACACGAACAAGAAACCTATTCCAGGACTCTATGCATCAGGGGAAATTGCCGGTGGAGTCCATGGAGCCAACCGATTGGGAGGATCATCTCTCTTAGGATGTGTAGTTTTTGGACGAGTCGCAGCGGACTCGGCATCGTCTTACTTATTGCATTCATTGGCCACCGGCTCTGGGCCCGCTGCCCGTTTGGGTCAAATCCAAAACCACTTGAAAACTACGATCGAAATCAACCCACAAAACAAGAACGTTCAGCTCACCTTTGCCTGGGATGATACAAATGGAAAGTCCACCCAGGCCAGCAGCGGGGGTTCAAATGTCTCTGGATCCTCTGCCGCACAAAGTGCACCCCCACAGCAAACACCGAACCAGGCAGGGCCCAACGGTCCTGGTGCAGGCAAAGCCCCCGAGGAAAAGGGACCATTGAAAGAATATACGTTGGACGACGTCGCCAAACACAAAACCAAGGATGATGTGTGGGTAGTCGTTAATGGGGAGGTTTTAGATGTCACCAAATTTAAAGCGTCAGTCCTTTGGATCAATATATGTCATATCCGCGCAAGAGACTAAATGTTAATTTATTCCAGTGATCATCCCGGTGGAGAGAAGGCCATCATGCTGTATGCTGGTCGCGATGCCACAGAGGAGTTCAACAGTAAGTAACCCATCGTTTCTCCCTTTGATGGCCCTTTCACTTTTACACAACGAACCAATCACTTTTTTTTTCTTGGCAGTGTTGCATGACCCCAAAGTAGTCAAGAAATACGCACCTGACTCGATCATCGGAACACTCAAAGAGTAGAATCAGACACCCAAGCACCCACATCAGCTTGTCTTGTTTATGATCTACGGTAGAAGAATGTATGTACCTGTGTATATAAGTAGTCGTTCGAGGGGTTTTTCTCTTCAGAATATTATCAAGCAAACGTGTTGTATGTAATAGTCATAAATGCATATGTGCCCTATCCCAGTTTTCCTTTTTTCATTTCTTTTTTCTCTTTCTTATTATATATAACTGCTCGTCATTAAAGTTGTTCTTCATCCAATTCTGAATGACAGTTGTATTTAAATGTGGTTTTTTCAGTCCAGTGGACCTGTAGTGGTTTACATATTTGCTGTGAAAATAAAAACACAACAAGGTCTGACTGAAAACATAAATATTGGTACTTTCCTTTGTCGTTTTTTTTTTAAATATACATAAGATACCTTGGATTTTCTGGGACTACATTCTAAGAAATATGGCTTGGTTAGAGCTACCTGAAGTGCAGAAACAAAAATGAAGTCTTTAGACAAGCTTTTGGAAGTCATTTGGTTTACAATAACCAGTTCTGGTGTTTGATCTACAAATTGAAATTAGCTTGTGACTGGCTATCCTGAACTCAGCTAATTCTTTCTATTAAGTATTTGATTGTAATCTGCTTGATGTTAACCAAGTTACACAACATGGTTAAACAATGATAACTAAATTTGAAAACACTGTGTATACCATTGCAATGGTAGGTGAAATATTAAGAATTTCTACCTGCAAATGACGCCCATGTTGATCCCCTTTCTCACACCAGCTTGATTGCTGCTTTCCTACTTGAATTTCAATCAAATAGTGGCGATCAATCCAATATCTTTTCACTTAATTCAGCCGAAGAGCTTGATCATCAACCATCAGTTTGACAACCCGAAAAAATCATTTCTTTGTAAAACAACACTGGGCATTGAATGCTCAAATACAAGATTTCCTTCAATGTGAACAGTTGGTACATATTAAAGCTATGCGTAATTCGTTTGAAAAAAAAAGGAGCAATTTTTTGGAAACAGATTGTTGTTCAACCTTGATCATGTTTTCTTCTGAACACACGCGCAAGAAGCCATCTCTGTTTTGCATTCATGTACATCGTATCCTTCCAAGGCAATAATTCCAATTCCCTCATGGGTTGAAAATTAGGAGAAAGGAATTTCCAATGAGTTCTCCTGGATCGCATTCTGTTCCCGATTCTTTTGAGCCCATTGACAAAGCCATCTTCATCCTTAAACAAATTTAACCATTTCACAATATTTCTTTTCTGATAATGATACACCATCATTTTGGTTGCTGCTTCTGTCATTAGTATCTCTCGCTTGGATACTGTGTTGTTGGTCTTGAATACTGGCTGATACTTCCTTATAGTCTCCTGACACATTAATGAGGAAAAGAACAACCCGACAAGTGCTTCGCTTACTCTATCTTCTCTGGAATTGAGGATACTGAGCATGTCATCTTGAAGAAGGTTTTGCTCTTCCAGATATGCAGGATCTTCGGCCCCATAACCAAATGTTTCAATCAATGCTGAATTTAACACCCAGATCAAAATTGAAAAGGATTTTATTTGATTAGAGCTTATTTTTCTGTCGTCGCACATTTTCCAGAAAGCCGGATTCAGAAACGTGTTGGTTCTATTCCTTTCAAGTCTCCTTAGCACGGGAATTAGTGCGTTGGCGTCCTCTGCGATCACGTTCTGATCTCCTCTTTCGATCAGCGAGATTGTTGCCCACACTTCGTCCCCTACGATGGCTGGGGTTCCCTGCATATAGAATGGGTCGATCCACGTATTCCACCTGGTGCTGCTTGACGGGCGCAAGCTCAAAGCGAATGACCTACTTGTACCTTCCCCACTTTCTTTCAATGGGTTCTTCCAGGGGAGGAATTCTAGGACTTGAATAAACTCCTTTGATTCTCCGATTTCTTTGACTTCGCAATTCATGTGTGGGTTTTGAAGTTTGGCCAGGTATGACAAGAAGGCGCCTTCATCTCGAAATTGCTTTCTCCACTTCTCCGGATTGTGTAATTTGTAGTATGAAGCTAAAAGGGTGATTACCGTTTTAGTCATCTTTAACTGATTTTCAGAAAATACTCCGACGTAAGTATCCACAACATTAGTTTTCTTTACCAGCTGATAGATCACTCTGTTTGAGTTTTTGGAGATGAATGCGTTGTGAACACTATCCAACACCGTTTTAAGAGTAATTGCAGGAAATATTTGATTATTTCTTTGATCCAAAAGATTCGAATCCCGATTCTGAGATTTCTTGAGAATATCAAGAAGCCAGTCATGGAGCAAATCGTGCTCTTCACTATAACCTTCTGGTGTTAAGCTACCAAGTCCGCGGAGCAATCTCAGGTTGGTCAGCAAGAGAAGGTCCACAAACTGTGTGACGTTCTCGTGGAGCTCGGCGGCAGTGATGACATTCCTCGTAGAATGAGAGCTTGCCTGGATAATTTCGTTCGACATTGAAACGATTTCTCTCACAAATTCTGATGTTTTTTCTCTTCTTTGTAGTTTCAATTCTTGATGTGCTGGTTCAATAAGATAGGTTGTGCCTCCATAAATCCATGCCCATACCTTTTCCGTATACGATGAGTGGAATAAGTCTCGCAACATCAACTCAGTTTTCATTTTATCCAATAGAATCTGGATGGCTTCATCCTTTTCTTCTGTTTCGGCCAGGTTTCTGAAGCCCACTGTGTCGTGATTTGTTGTCATCTGACTCTGAGGACTGAATACTGTATCTTTATTTTTCCTCTTTCCTTTGATTTCAGCCCAGTAAAAAAAGTGGAGTTTTTACAATGTGAGTGTCCAGGTATGACACAAGAAAAGTCAAACAGTCGTTAAGAAGATAATGAAGGCCTACTGGAGATTCTCTCATGGTTTTTTTCGGGAGACATCCCGCCATCCACAGCCACCATCACTGCTGAAGTAGTTGATTCTTGTGGCTCTTCTCCGGAGGATCCTGGATGACTCAAATCTAATCCTGGATTAAGAAGGGTACCAGAGTCCAAACAAATATCGATACACTTTTGTTAGCTTTGTACATTGCCCGGGTGCCAGGGAACTTGGTCTCAGTGCGTCTGATCAAGCTGATCAATCACATACGCGCGAGGGCGGACAATCAGAAACATCGAAGAATTGCGAGACTAACTAAAAAAATGCCCAACATTTTTTTTTGGAAATAACGAGCTTTTCATAGTCTCAACCTGCCCTCCCGGCTTAGTAGGTGTGATTTTCTGGTTTTTGTTAACGGCTCCCGGGTGATTCAATAACAAACTCGAGTCTAGTTCAGATTCAGAGCATGGAAAACCAAGCGGTTATTACTAGCTGTTATGTCGAGCATGAGATCATGTTTTTTTATATCTCTTTTGCACCGATTGATAACACTTGCATGTTGAAAAAAAAATGAAGAAATGGAAAAAAATTGTGGGACTGACGAGGGGTGTGCCCATAGCTCTTTCCAGAAAATATCGATCCACTCATAGCGTCAGCGGAAATCGCGGGTGTAGGAGGTGCAATCTTTTGTTTTTTCCTAGCAGTTTCTGGATCGGCCAAAGCCAAGGTCAGATCGAGCCATGATTCGGAGTCTGAAGAATTACGGGAGCATTGTCAGTTTTGCTATCTTGATATGAGACTTCTAGTTCACCTCTGGTAAATGTTTGCTACGTTAATGATGGAGCTAGCTTACCCTTGTCACTAGTACTCTGACTAGCAGTAACTTGGCTCACTACCTGGTTCTGGCTTCGTGATGGCGCTAGCTCACCCGAAAAGGAAGCAGGCAATCTTCGCCTGTCAGAAATTCCTGGATGAAGCATGGATTTTAGTGCGCGCGTCAACAGAAGGCCTCATGATGCGCGCCGAGGTATAAAAAATAGGATCATTTACCACTCAAGAAATCCTTTGTTGGCGAGCCCGATCGAGATTCATAGTGGACTAGAAAATCATCGTGCATGTCATCTAGAAGGTTGGGGCCGGCGACTCTAACTATATATTGGTGATGCAAATGGATAAATGGACAATGTAAATAGTGTGAGCGCAAAGCCTCTCTACAAAGCACCATTGAAGGAAATATCTTGACCATTGGCATCGGCTTGGGCAGTAATAGGCGCACGCATTCCAAGAGGGTTGGTTGTAGAGCTTTCTGTACCGGGTGAAGACACATCGGTTATGATCGAGGGAAACAAATCTAGCGTTACCAATGGCGCCTCTGATGTGTGGAGAGACCTACTAGAGTTACCGGAGCCTTAGTGAACTCGATTCGTGTCATTTCCAACAAGCACATATACGGTCAAACCATACTCAACATTTGGTTTGGTTCCCATGACTCTGCCTGTTTTACTTGGAATAGATCACCCAGTCTGGGGCCCGGCTTGGCCGACAGAGTATCTTGTGCATAAGGTAGAGATACTAGCGCGGTTCGCCAGAGGGTTCTCATGCTGAATAAGACTCTTGATGAGATCCAATGCCTCCAAGGCCGATATCCTAGTATTTTGTTAAGGGGAATGAAAGAAATGTCAACGCAGATGCACGTGACCTTCAAGAGCAAGCTAACAAGTCTATCACCCATGCATTACAATTTATCATCACTGCTCCCATTGAACCGATTGTGTGCACAGCATAATTATGTACTCTTAGACTTCTGTAGAATTGGTTTCAGCTTATCAGGTGTTTTGATTTACATCTCTCCAAGCGAACAGCCGTGCCATCCCGGTCCAGTTGACGGCGATGCGGAAGAACCTGGAGAACTTGTAGCTGTGGCAATATGGCATGTGAGCTGTGGCATGGCATATCAGATAGAGCAACTCTATGAACCCCGGACGATACATACATCCGAGTTGCTGTCACTAGTCAAGAAGTTTTATCCAGGCTGCTGGCACTTGTGTTTCGACTTTATACCAAAGCATAAAATTGCCCCATGGGGAATGAATGGGATGCCCAGGATAGCCCGCAGCTGATAGCCCGCAGCTGCTTCGCCCTCTTGCGGGAGGCTTGCGTTAGGCCCCAGCTGGCAGCGATCGATAGCATAGTACCACCAAAGAATCCAGTGTTTTATTTGGAGGAGCCAAGGAAGAGTGAGTACCATCTATTTCTTCTGCCTTCAGGCTTGAACATGTATTGCAGAATGCTGATGGGTGGATGGTTGCAAAGCAGATGTTTGACTCCCGAGAGACGATCGTTTCGTGTCCTGGAAAGGTACTGATCGCTGGTGGATACCTGGTTCTCGATAGGGAGTACCCTGGAATCGTCGTTGGGACTTCCTCACGCTTTTATACGGTCATCAGGCCAGCTCAATCACCATTGGGTCGATCTCCAGAGCAGCAGGGGTCTTTGAAGTACCAGCAGATTAGACTCTCGATTCGATCGCCCCAATTCATTGATGCGGAATGGTCCTACCTTATCAGTCTTTCTCCTCAAGCCGACTTGATCATTAAGCCAGAAGCGTTAGTACTCTATCCTTTAGGCAATCGCCTTCCCTTTCTGCTGGGTCTTGCGCTGATTTTTTTTTCTCTCTCTGTGTTAGATCTTCTTCGCAAAACAAATTTGTCGAATTGGCTGTTCGGGAGTCACTGAAATTATCTTTGGCGCTGCAAAACCCTGACCAATTCATTCTCCAACCACCATCTGAGAAACCTCATCAAAATGGGCACTCGGCCAACCAGCCATACCCTATGACCATCACTATCCTGGGCGACAACGATTTTTACTCCCAACCACGACAGGATCATGTAAGAAAATAGGATTGAATCTCGCAGAAGGCAAATACAAACTAGAGTGAATGATAATTACATGTCCGTCTCGAACAGGCTCCTGTTCCAGCGTTCAACCGATTAAACACGACCTTGAAAGATGTTCACAAGACCGGTCTCGGGTCATCCGCCGCTATGGTCACCTCACTCTGCTCAGCGATCTTGATCTATTTCGCCCCCTCGATCAAGCCTCTATCCCGCTCGACAAAACTATTACTCCACAACTTGTCCCAATATGTCCATTCTCTTGCTCAAGGAAAGGTCGGATCAGGGTTCGATGTTAGCGCTGCTGTTTATGGCACTCATGTCTATAGGAGGTTCTCTCCGGCTTGTTTGGATGGATTGCTGGGCTCGTCTGGGGATCAAGCACATGTCAGAAATCGCTATATTCATCTAAAATTCTCCGAGATAGATTTCGCCAAGTTATCATTTCTCATTCACATCACTCTCCTAAAAACAGCTAACACCAAATCAAATCTGGAGAACTCTCGATCCAAAAATCAATGAAAGTTGGGTTGATGCATCCACCGCACCCGTAATCGAACGATTCTCCATTCCCAAATTCACAACCCTGTTACTCGCCGATGTGGATGCGGGCAGTCATACTCCTAGTATGGTAGGCCAAGTTTTCAAGTGGAAAAATAGTGAAAGTGAAAGTGGTTAGTCGCCTTGAATCATGCCTTTGGCAAATAAGTCTGGTTTGAAACTATGCAGATTCACCTGATCAGCTTTTTTTTATTGCCTAGCCAATCAAATATGGAAGGAACTGTCGATTCAAAATAATCAATTGAAAGTAGCATTCGAAAGATTAGAAAGACTCTCCAGCTTGAATGAACAGAATTGTTTGTCCGAGGTTCTCAAGTTGTCGAGCGATTCGAACTTTTATCTCCAGGTAAATAGACCAGAAACTCTTGCAACAAGGACAACGAGAGACGAGAATGAAGCAGTGGCTCTTTCTCGGGCCGAATCGCTCTTACCCAACATCATTCTTTCTTTGAATTGTTCTATGCGTCAGGATGTACTAATTTCTTTGATGACGGTGATGCTCTTTCAATAGAATGATCCTAGCCCGGTGACGGAAACGGATGATGTTCGAACTTTGTTCATTAAAGTTTCTTCTATAACCAAGGCAGGTACAATTTGTTTTCACATAGAAGAGATGGACATCTATCACACCACACACTAAGCCAAGATTCTTGCTTTTATAGTCGATTCGCCAATTAATGAAAAAGATGGGAACACAATCTAATGTCCCTATTGAACCGGACAGTCAAACTCAGCTCCTCGACGAATGTGAAAAACGTCATGGAGTGATCGGTAGCGGAGTACCTGGTGGTAAGATTTGGTTGAACTCTTTTCTGCTTCTTTCAAAGATGAAACCCGCTTTAAGATTCTGAACAAAACCCACTCTGTTTGTCTGATGTATGAATAACAATGGGAACAGCCGGAGGGTACGATGCGATTTGGGTCTTGATTTTCACTCCGCCATCGCTCCCGGAATGCTCGACCGCAGAAAAAGTAGACGGACGATCTGGAAACATCCAACATGTGATAGAGTTTCTGAACCATTGGCCGCATAGCTCAGTGAGAGTCTTGTCGTCGGATTCATGGGTAGTCGGTGGTTCGACAAACGCACTGCGAGAATCGTCTGATGATGGTCACGAGGATGATGGAATCAAGATCTTTAATGATCTGCAACTCGTGGATTGCTTGAAATCCCAGCTTAATTTATTTTCTTGACTTTAATTTCAGTTCATTGTATACCTCCCATCAGGCCCTCTTTTGCTAGATTGTAGCATCATCCCTCTGCTGCAAGCATTCATACCATTAATCTATACCATCTTTTGAGCTTTTCCCTTATGATTTGGTGACAAGTGCAGTTTCACAAGCAACATGATCAGGTATGTTAAACAATTTATACAATGGCTGGATATGCCCAGGGATTTCTTCACAGCTGGGTGATCAAAGCTCAGATATTGCTAGACAAGTTGTTGAAGTTTCTTTTTTTTACAAAATAAAACAGACAGAAATTGGATACTGAGAAAAATATACTGATTTTGACTTGGATTCTATGACTGATAGAGAGGAGATGATTGCATGAAAATGAGAAAATTTAATAGCAGGAAGGAAGGCATCATAAACTATAGGAACTGCATGAGAAAAAAAGCCAAAAAGGTATGTGTAGGTATGTGTGTAGTAATCATAGACTGATTGAAATGGTTATCAATATCTAGCATGAAATCAGAATGAGGGGTCAGAAGAGACTGTACTTTGCCAGTTTAGGATTGGTCTTCTTTTAGTATAACCTGTGCATTTTCCTTTTGCTTGAAGCCATGATTTCCACCCTTCATCAATCTTCTGAAGCCTCTTATAAGCTCTTATGAATCTTGAATATAGTTTTCTGATTTGCTTTGTGTGGTATTCTTGGATTGACATCCCATAATCAACATCAGCATTTTCTCTTAGTATCTTGACTTGATTGTTGCCTAATCTTTTGTATCTCTTTGGAATATATCTTAACTCTAAGATTTTTGAAGATGTTGATAGAAGAGTATAATAGTCAAGAATTATTTGAGGATTACAGTCATCTGTATTCTTTGCTAGTTCATTGATAATCCCTGGACATATTTCAGTTTGAATCAGATCTAGAAATTCAATGATAGTTTTAGGTAAAAACCTATAATGGTAAGAATTCTCATCAAAAAGATGGTGCTTGCTTGGGCTTCTTATTGCCATTAGAAGCTCTATCAATTGTTTGAGATCCTTTTTCATCTTTTCTATGTTTGCATTTTTGTAGTCTCCCAATTCTCTCAGATTTATCAGCTCTTTTCCAGTTTCTAACTGTTCAAATTATGTATTGATTGAGAATGATTTATGAAACTCTTGAGAGCTGTATATAGTGATTTGGTTTGATCATTATTCATAATGAGAAAAATCAGTCCACAATACCCAGAAGGTTTTTTGCATGAGATTTGATACCATTGAATTCAATCATTCAAAGACAGACACACCTTCAAGGAATTGCACTCCCAATGGTGAGAACCACTGCTTGGTAACATTTGTATGTAATTCATCTTCAAAGAAATCTTGGGTTTTGTAATGTTGTCTAATGTAGATACTTGCTCTCCTTAAAATCCTATCATCTTGAAAGTTGTTTCTTAAACTTTCCTGGCTTATGAATCCAGTCTTCCATATAAAATCAGTTGTTTTGAAAAGGAAGGGAAGATATCTTGAAACATTTACGAGAAGCTCATCAGGTAGGATGGAGCAATTATAAGGGCCTAGGACTTGGTAGTCAACAATTTCTTTCTTGATTTGATCCAAGACTGATATTCCTAGCTGCTTCCCTTTGATTGTTGTGACTGATGAGATATGTTCAGGTGAAGTAATTTCAAGCCATTTTGCTAGCCCCAGAGACTTTGTATCTTCTGCAAGGATTGGTTCCAAGTTTTTGAAACTGGAATACATTGGATCAAATCTGCCTACCTCCAAAAGTTGCAATCTATTCAAAATTGATAGGTTCTTTCCAATTTTTTCCACAAAATCCCTATGCTCAGCTTTGCACACACAAGATTCATACTCTATTGAATTTTGATGGTCTTTGAAGAATTCTGAGATCATCTCTGATTCCTTAGAGAGAAAGGCCAAACTACATCCTGTGAGGAAGGTATACCATTAGTTATTTGTGTATCCATACAAACCAAATGTGTACAAACCTTCGGTTTTCTTGATCTCTGAAAAGTTCAAGAGGAATACCATCAGTATTTATAAGCTACCTCTGACCAGTAGAACTCATGATGGGCCCACTAACCACTTACTAACCTTTGTCAAGAACTGGGGTGCACATCTGGTCCCCCTGAGTTTGATGAGGACAAGATGACTGTGTCCAATATCATCACCCATTTCTGCACCAGTAGTTAAAGCCTTTGGAGCAATGACTACATTTCAAGTAGCTGAGATGAAGAAGCCCGCAATCATCAGTTGTGAAAACATTCTGTTTGAAATTAACAATGTTTCTGAGAGATACATTCAAGTCACTTGAGATATGGATTTCAATAGCAGTTGTACATTTTTACATGTTTACTAGATGCAGGAAGTTTTCTTCAGGACTTAGAGCATCTCTAACGGTCCGGGGGGCAGTTGACGCGCGTTCCCCGGCCCGCAATCACATTTCACAGAGTCCGCGGGTCAGCTCCAATTATGGACTGGCTCTTCATGGTCGCCCCAATGACTTAAATGCACAAAGCTGGGAGACCGAATTGAGCAAAAGTCTCGGTTATCAAAGTCACCTTGGACTCTTCACATTGGATCACCGCACCAGCTTCCTCGTTGAAGAGGAATGATAAGATACCTTCGGGAGTCTGGATTTGTTCTGGAAGCGTCAATTGGAGTCGCAAACAAGCCACAAAACTCATCTCAACACTGCTGACAAAAAGGCCTCCGTCCGGTTGTGATAGGCCAAAACCGGCTGATTGGGATGACGGTGAAGGGTAACAAAACCTTTCAAATGACTACTCCAGTCAATATCCGGTGAATCGTCGCCCAGCTGATTGTGTACTTGGGCAAGAGCTGAGCCACCCATCCTACATTGTCGGCTGGAGAATGGAGTCCTTTCCGACAGGTATACTGATACCCAATTCAGCACATAGCTCAATACCCACGACCTCAAATAGCCATGCGCTTTCATTTCCATGGCTGGCTGAGCACATCCAGTGTGCGCTGAGCTTGACATGCTCAAGTGAATTGATATCGGCGGCGACCAGATTAGTGAGCACCTCAGCCACCACCATCTTGGCCGAGCTAGCCGCCGATATCAAGCTCAATGGTGACCGTTTGCCCATCACTATGGCTTCGCCCGAAACAAGATCAAAGCCGTAGGAAGTCCTTGTGACTGCCACGTCCCAGACTGGTACCTGATAGGGGCCTACCATTTGATGACGAGTGACCAAACTGGTAACAGATTTATCCCCGATCGTAGTTGCAAGACTCGCGTAGAGCAGTGTCCGATCAGGTCTGGATGTTTGAAGATTCAGCTGGTTTCGGAGTAGTCGATTTTGTTGGTTTTGTAGCAGTCGGAGTTTTGGCCGTCAAAGTTTTCGGAGTTTTAGCTGGCTTTGGAGTGGCCATGGAGGTATCTTTTTGAGCCTTTCTTCCTTTTCTTTTTTTTGGAGAACTTGGCCTTTTTGTGTTGTTTCGGAGGTGTATTGATGATGTGATGGAGGTGTGTTCGATTGGTCGATGGAGGTGTGATTGGAGAGGAGGGATTGAATTGCGGCTGGGAGGTGACCCGCAGAAGTCAGCAGGTCATCACGGGTTTGACTGCCCCCCGCGATGTTTTCAGGGTTGATCTGCGGGTCCGTTGGATGTTGAAAATTGAACCCGGGCGGTCAAAGTTCGCCCCCGGTGGCCCGATCGCGGGTCCGTTGGAGATGCTCTTACAAGTTTATACGTAGGGCGCAGGCAGAACCGGCAAATACTTCTCTGCTCCAGCTCAAATCTTGAGGGTGGGCACCTAATCTACAATTAGTGACATCGAGGCCAGTTTAAATGACAAGACAGATGCAGCAATGTTGAGACCATACCAAGAGATAAGATGTGATGAATATACTCATGACTCCAGCACAAAGAGGGTTTAGTTTCTATCTTATTGGCTTCAAGTTCTGGGCCTGACCTGGAGTAAAAACTAATTGTTGGGTCTCTTCAATACAAGTGTGTTTTATTCAGACTGGGATGGCGCTGTTTGATGCTGAGCTTTGTGTATCAAATAACGTGCCAGCCGGATATTTGTTTACAGATTTTTTGAAAAGCTCTGGTATTAGTGATATGATTTTTAGCGGATGAGTTTCTATGGCAGAGCTGCCAGAGGGTGAGAAGAGGGACAGTAGGGAGAGCTTCTCCATCAACAGGAGCCTTGTCAGTGAGCTGGTTTGAATCATTTATCTTGCAATTATATCCTTCAGGCCCCACTTCTTGGCCTTGAGGTTCAATTTATTGAAACTCTTGGCTGTTGCAACTTTATACAGGTCATACATTTTGTTCTTAGTTGTGACCGACCTTGTGACATCCAGTGGAAAGCTTCAATAACTCAATCTTCAAATCCAAACCTAATCAAGACCTAACAATTGGTCCACATCAGCCAAAAATTCTTCCTGATCCCTTCTTTCTTTTTCTTTTGATCTTTTTTGACTATCTCTTTCCTGAATGTCATTTTGGTGAGCAGAAAAACCCTCAAACTGGAATTCCTTTTTTTTCTTTCTGTAGGAATTTGATATCAAATACTTTCTTGCAGCAATATACCAAATGCTAATAGTAGTATATAGCTGAGGAAAAAATAAATGGAAATAGAAATACTTGAAAAATAAAAGTGAGCAATGAAAAAATTGATAGAGATAGAAAACAAGATACTCAAGGAGTACAAGAATGTAATCATTAGGTACCTTCAGATATTTTTGTCTCAACTACAACTCAGAAGATAGACACAAGAAATGTTTTTAGGAGATAAAAGAAATAACAAACAAGCCTAAAGAGAAAGAAAAGAGCAATAATCTGAATCAACAAGGAAACAAAAGAAAGAACAAAGCAAGAGAAAGCTGGGTTTGGATATACCTCCACTTGAGCTATAGCCAAGCTCCTCCTGAATTCCGTTTGGTCTAGTGAGGGGTAAGGAGTTACAAGAATTGAACAGAGTTGTTTTTGATCATCAGTGGATTAAGGGACTGAGGATTGAAAGAGTGTGACAATGGTGCTTCTGAGTGTGATGAGATTTTTCAGAGTTCTTTTGCAGGGATGAAACTTCTCATCTTCATTACACTTTGCATGTAGTTATGTAATATCAACACTTTCAACCATACACCACAGCAGTTCAGGATCACTATTTGACACTTTCTACTCTTGTTTACTAATTTGTCTTGTTTCAGCTCTTATCTTCTTCTATTCCTGTCCAAAAATACATTATAATAACATCCGTTATCTGTCTCAATCTTAAGCACTCTATTTGGGTATCCTTTGATCTCTGTTTCATTTTTCTATTTCTTTTTTTTTATTTTCTTCCTTTTTTCTAAGGTGTGGTCCCAACTGAGTTTCTTGTCACCCCAGTCATATTCTTGCATGTATACGTGGTGTCTTGTAGTCTTTGTCAATTTCCTTGTCAGGCGGCATCTTGTGGAAGAGGAAGAGGCCCTAAGGGTACAGCAGATATAACCTAGGTTGGGTAGCATTGAGCGTCTTGGGCCCTCGATCTCTTCTTGATTCTTGTCCAGTGGTATGTGTCGTCTCGAGCACATTCTCTCCGGTCCCCGTCTTCTGTCTCTTCCGCATTGATGAGGAATACGAGGTTGTCGATGATGGTGAAGAGAACGGAGAGTCTCGTGTGATTTGAATCGGCCTGGAGGAAGTTCTAGTCTGATGCTATCTTCATCCCATCGGCCACAAGCTTCATAAACTCGCCATGAAACGGCGACTTTTTTTCCCGGACCAAGTCAAGGGTCAACACAGCGATGGAGGATGGTTGATTAGGTTATGAGGAAGAAAATAGAGAGAAAAAGTTGACCTACGAGCAAGGTAGATGAGCGGCGCTATCAGCGTAAGGACCCCAGCACGAGTACCGGAGAGAACGATTTGACCATGATAAAGGTAGTGATCTGAAGTCCTAAAACCTTGCCAGCAAAGACGATACTGAAGGATGCTGATGATCATGAGGAGGGTTGCCGTGTGATAGAAAGGGCTCCTGGATGGCTATAGGCCAGATGCAGAACTTGTACGGATGATAGTGGTCGATGCTCTCGTTCATAGCTCACCCTTAATTCTCCCCACATCCCTCTTCTGCTTGAACTTTTCTGACTGGACCGGCCATTCTCTTGGCCGATAGTTGTCGGTTTGATTGTAGAGGGGTAATAATGATATGTACTTCTTCGATTGTGTTCACTCGTCCCACGAGACTTGATTGAGTGAATGAAGCCTGAGGCGAGAAGAGTTGAGTGTTTTTCTCGCCCGTCATGGCATGGCCAATGGTGATTGAAAACGAATCCAGTTGCGGTGTGACTGGGGGTACGATTCCGAGCGGACGAGTTCGAATTTTTTTTATCTCCATCATCAATGCTGGCAGATGCTGGCTAAGGATCACTTCAACTTGATGTGTCATCTTACACCATGAGAGCTCAACCGCGGACAGGGGCACATCTTGGCCCTTTTCAATGTGTGATGGCCGTTCGGCTTCATGGGACAACCGTGCTCGAAGGAATATATAAGACCCGAATGGTCGCTCAACCAAATATATAAATAAAATTACTAGAAAGAAGCGGGGGATCAAACCGTAAAAGACAATTTTGGCAGATCATGGCTGGGGACTGGAGGTAGAAATGTAACAAGTACCGAATCTACATGCTCACTTCGTGCGGCCCCTTTCGCCTTAAATAATTATGTAGTTATGGAAAGGAAAAAAGCAAAGAAAAAAGAAAAAAGGCTGGTTCTTCGGCCATGAATCAAGTCAGATTGATTAGAGGGGGACACAGTGTTGATCGGGGCAAGCTGTTTATGGGAAAAAAGATGTGTCAATTACAAGTGAACGTTCGATCGATGTCTTTCAAGTAAGACTCACTAGCCCTCCGTAGGTTTTCGTTACTCATGGGGCAGTGGTATGGCTCTGCATCAAGGGCCGGGACGAAGGTCCCTGGCCAAAACTTGTGACCCCGAATCTCTGTAGCCAAGCCGCGCAGCACTCTGGATCAGATTTTTGAGGCCTTCTAGCGGAATGAGACTCGAGGCTACGACGTACCAATTCTATTAAGCGCAATATTGACAGTAAATTCCTTGACTCGGACATGGTTTTTGACCCACCCTGCTGGGGTGGACACACAACCTGAGAATATCCAAGATGATACTACATAGAACCACGAATCAGGTTAGATTAATGTAGGTTCTGAGAATAGGAAGATTGCTTCTCACGAGGTTTGAGACCGTACGGCCCGATTGTCATACATTTGTCCAGCTCACACTTACGCGCCACGAGGCCGCTTTGGCACGCTGTGGATAAACAGGGAGAGTTTGTCAGCCTCTGCATAACAGCGATTCAAACCCGACAAGTGATGGTCGGACTTACCAACTGCGTTGGGGGTATTGGGAATAGGCTGGAAGGCAATGTCACAGTTGTAAGCATTTGATTGGGTTGTGGATAGAAATGCAACCATCCCGACAAGTAAGATGCTGTTAATCATCATTTTGGAGGAGTATTTAATGCTTCTTTTCCGGATCAGAGCGGATATTGATTAGACAAATACTCGGTGGAGGATGGGAGTGTGGACGGTCGATGTCCAGTAGGCGGAGCTGCCAGTACGTATTTACATACATATGAACATTTGATGCTGGTCTTGCTGAACTTCTTTGTTTGAAGTTTGTCCTTGCAAGCCGAAAGGAGCCGGCCTTACAGCCCGATCCCAATAGAGAATGGCACGCCGGTGAGATGGCGCTGGGTCACGCAAATTACATAGTAAAAATATGTAGCCATAATATGGCGGAAATCCTGTACATAAACATGTGCAACTTACCCATACTGTGGCGCGCCACTTCCTGAAGCGGTGACGGAAGCGCAGCGGGAGAGGACCCAGGCAAGTCCCTGTCAAACCGACTCATGTAATTCCCAGTGTCAACAGTCGACCTCTGTTTGAAAAAAAAAACACATAAGTATTGTGTTTTGAAAAAAGCTTGGATTTTTTTGCTTTTCTGGAATTCTGAAGTATGCACTTGTGATGCATATCACAAGTTTAATCCTGCTGTTTCTGCCCAACACAACAGTGATATGATGTGACAACCATTGATCATCAAATATATCCGCAAACCAACCATCTCACATTGTCTTCCAACCAGCACTATCCTCACCCCCTCATCAATCCTTCTCTTCAACACCAACCACCAATGGTTTACCGCTTCCATGCCCCGGCAGCCAAAATTGCTGTTGTCCAAATGGCCAAGCAAGGTCTTTCCGCTGCACTCATCAAGAATATGCTTGGTGTTCGATTCTCACAACAATCTTTCCACCAATGGAACCAACTCTACGAAGAAACCCGCTGCATCATCAGAGATCCAGATACTTACAAGGCACATGGACGACCTGCTAGCCTTACGCAAGATGAGTCAACTTTCATGATTCAGCTTGTCCAATCAAAGCCTGGCCTCTTCCTGGACAAAATACGAGAGCGGTTGTATGATGCCTCTGGCGTCCTCCTCAGTATTGCTGGCGTTCACAGGACCCTTGTTGAGCTTTTTACCATCACCTTAAAAAAACCAGACGCAAAGAACATCCAAAAGTCACTTACTGCCAAGTATGCATATGTTGAACGAATGGAGTTCTTCCCTGCTGACTTCCTTGTATTTACCGGTGAGCTTTCAAGCATTGTATCAATTGTTAACATCAGCTGATGCCTCTGTGTTTTTGGAGAGGATTGGAGCCTCCCCGAGGCAAGGTGGAAAGTGCGGAACCCGCAGAAAAATACAGCATGTACTCCGGAAGGTTTCTAGTGAGCACATCAGTTTCAAAATCCAAAAGCGAAAAGGTCTCTCCAACGCGGAGAGGTCTTTCCAGCAGCATCAAGGAAAAAAAAACATGCATTCAAAAAAAGAGAACGACAAGCGGAATTCAGCTGCTCACATCAAAGCGCTTACTGGTCATATCCAGTCTTGAAAGATGTCTATGAAGAGAAATACGGAACTTTTTAATGTTCACCTCAATAAAGCTGGCGAGCGGCAGAGTCTTGAGATCCCTTGAGTTTAGTTCTGATGAAAAAAATTCAAAGACTTAGGCACAAAGATTTGAATTCACTCTTGGAAGGTTCGATCTCATTAAACCATCAATACATTACCGACCCCAGAATCAGCATCCAAATCTTTGCCCTGACTTGAGACAAGTCCTGCGCTTCTGCGGGCCTGGTGACCTTGGCTGGCTGGAGCCACTCGCAAAGCGAGCCTCCAAAGGAGGGACTTGTGACAAATACACACAAGCTCGCATGTTGCTATTGACATGTCTTGGTGTAGCAAAATTTGGATTGCCCACCATGCATGTAGTTTAACTTTTTTTTCAGGTAGATCCAGCATGGTCAAAGTTGGCCATTTTGCGGTTATCCTCATCCAGATTTTACAAATATTGTATGGAAATCTGATGAGTAAGATCTTTTTGAAAAATGTGGAATATTGAAAAAATCAAAGAATCCAAGTTGAGTTCCAAGCCTTGAGAAGCTATTACATAAGCAAAAAACACAAATCTGAGCGGAATCTTTGACAATTACAAAGTTTCTCTAGAATGTAGTTGTACATATTTCTGGATATTTTCTTGATGAAAATTGACTTGAGCATCTTGGGCACGCTGTCCCAGATTTTTCCCGTGTAAAAGTTAAGAAAGTGATATATGAGACTTTTCTTTGCAAAAAACACCCTTAAAACGCAAAAGCAACACGCGGGTGTGTTCGTTTTTGGCACAAGCCTCTCCCGCACTTTGTGCGTTTGACAGAGAGGCTGAGCAAGCTAGATCTTCACCCTCATCTGCAACCGCTTGCTTGTCCCCCTCCAGAAAACATCAACCACCCGACCATCAACAGCCTTCACATGATCATTGATCTCATCCAGATCCTGTTGGCTCCTCTGCCTCAGCATTGTTCTTATTGAATTTGAAATAGTCCCCGTTTTACGGCCATCATCCAAGGGTCAAAGATTGGTACGTACCCTTCCCTTGTCATCTGCATCATCAGCTAATCAACAGACTGAGAATAATTGGGGAGAGCAACAGACTAATAGTAAGACTCAATCGATCATCCGCCTCAATATTGATCATAAACCTAGTAGCCCAGCTCATCCTGGTGGATCATATATGCAGAACAGTTGCGCTTCTTGGCTAAGGATCTTGCCGATCAATTGATGCCCGCTTTTCATGCCTTTTCAACTGGCATTCCTTATGCTCGCGTTCATCCTCCTCCCCCCCTCTTTTTTCTGGAAATTGAAATCTCTCTTGAACTCATCATATCATCTCTTTTTTGTAGATTAATTTGGGATACGGCCTCATGCCGGATGAAGGTACCGAAACTTGCACCAATAATTATTATATTCTACATTATGTAGCTTCCACCGAGTAGAATGATGAAACTCTAACTTAACTAAGTCCCCCTATTGGAGGGGGGACACTGTCCCGCAGGGACCCTCCAAAGGAGGGTCCCTGTCGGCCCAATGCGACAAGTGGTTTACCACTCCAACCAGGAAGGGAAGGGATTTAGTTAAGTGAGGATGAAACTTGAGTGACACCAGCCCACTGATGAAACAAGTCCGAAACCCGCTTAATTCCAAATATGGAAGGACCTCTTGGTCTGTACAGCTCATTACACATTCTGCACTTACCAGCTCAGCGCGGAAATATTCCACACTTTGTGTAGGCTCCGATTCTCTGTGTTTTTGCTTTGCTCAGATGAAAGCTTGTTCACAGACAAGGATCTACTGTGATTGTTTGCCAGGTCAAAGAAAGGGACCCCCTCTGCAAGATTCCTCACCAATCATAATGCAGAGAGGTTGAGCTTACTTCCAGCCATCTCACTTGATGGAATGCTGGCCCTCACCACCACTTTGGAGACCTTTGTTGATCGCAAGTTTGAGCACTTTTTAGAATTTGACTTGGTGGGTTTCTTATTTTTTAACTCTTCCTGGTGTTTCTGGAACTGACTTTCTTCTCTTTAGCTCCCTCGAATGAATAGGTACCCTGACTTCAATTCCATCCTTGTTTGCGACAACACTACCACTCATCGAGGTGACCGTTGTGGTGGTCCAGGCTGTTGTGCGCAACAAAACTGCCAAAACCCCTACCTTATAACCTAAACCACTTACATATATGAATATATTATTGCATAATCAGAATCTACATACAATTTTACCGTCACTCATTACAACTATACCTCTATCTCTATTAGTTTAGAAGATAATCCAATATAAAGGTTAAAGCCATACCATAACTAGTCTTTTTTTTTTTCTTTTAAGTGCAGATTTGATTTGACATTGCGCACTATGCATATGCAACTTGAGACAATGTAGATGCAGGACAATTCCCGTAGACAACATTTATGGTAGAAGCGAGAGTATAGCTAATATCCTGAG